TACTATCTATACCTTAGAATGTTTACTTTGTAGTATAATGCAAGAATCCTTACTAATATTAGTTCCAGCTGCGAGTACAATCACCCAGGAATGCCTGGGTCAAATTCAGTGAAGATGGTATTCAGTGAACCCCGGAAAAAGCCGACATGGTCGTTTCATCCTGAAAATGCATTGAGGAAGGATAAAATCAATCCATTGAATTACATGAACTTGTTCAACTTAATTGGCCATAACTAGAAAAATTTCTTCGAAATGAACGAACGGCATCCAATGGACTTAAAGCCAGTAGGGAGTTCGTAAAGATCCCAGGTACCTTTTAGCATCAGGGATGCATATTCGGTGTTGGTGGCTTTGATCCATTCTTCGTGTTCAGACGAAGTATGGACGTGATGGAGTGCAGTTGGCAGACCAGTTGATTCATGAGCAAAGGCGACGAGAATGCTTTGATGCTTGGCATCTTGAGAGCCCTCAGTGATAGTGTCGTCAAAAAGGAATTTTCACGAGGGCGACGACGAAGAGATGAATCCAAGAGAGGACACGATTCCATGTCGGGAGAGTCATCGAGGTAGACAGGATGGTGAGGAGGAACAGGTGAAGCAAAGAGTTCAGATGGGCAACTGGTCGAGAAGCAGTAACGTCAGACTCTGAAGGTGGAGCGGATGGCGAGGTAGAGTCGACGGCGGTTGGGTTCGGAGACGATGGCTGTAAATACTCATCAGGGGGGAATCGCTTGGCAAATCAGGCGCGGATGGAACAACGGAGGGAGCTGTGGTAGAGTCAGAGTCCACATAGCGTGAGGAGGACGAATGCGACCTGAGCGACGAGAAGGCGGTCAAGTTGCGAAGAAGCGTGAAGTGGAGGTGGCAGGTCGTCGATGAAGTTGCCTTCTGTTTGCTCCAATGAAGAGGGAGAAGAAGCAGCAATGTAGAAACTCGTGGCTTCATTGAACACAACGTCCAGGCTTACGAGGGCCTTTTCAGGAATATGACAGTACAGGCGATGTCCCTTAGCGTCTGGTTCATGACCTAGATACTTCGTGCGGATGGACTTCGACGAAAACTTTAAGCGCTCATGTTGCTCGACATGGGCAAAGGTTTCGCAACCGAAAATGCGCAAATCTGACAAGTCAGGACGGGACTTATGCAGACACTCGAATGACTTAATACCAGACGTGGTTGAAAAGTACGAACGATTGCTCAGGTGTACAGCATGAGAGACTGCTTCGGCCCAAAATCGAGGCAGCGCATTGTTGTAATGAAGCATCGCTTGAGCGCATTCAACGAGAGTGCGG